GAGACACAGAATGGGAAGCAGGCTCCAGGCTCTGAGCTGTCAGCACAGACCCCGATGCAGGGCTCTAACTCCCAAACTGTGAGATCATGACCTGAACCCAAGTCAGACGCTTAACCGACTGAGCCACCCAGGTGCCCCAAGCACTTACACTTCTTAGACCCAAGGGCAGGTCATGAGACTCCACCTGCTTACTTGGTGGTTAGGCCTTAACACTAACCTATTCTGATCTAGTCAGTGTAACCCAGACCAAGAGAGGAAAAATGCCAGGGGCACAGTAACCCTGATCATGGTGGATGGACCGAGGACAGGTGACCTCCCATTTCTGATCTAACCAGCAGTCTCTGAGGTGCCCTCCTGTTCAGAAATCCTCTGATCTCTGCCTCCATCAGAAACCGCCTGAACTGCACCGAGTGCCTTCAGCATCCGTGGCTAATGAAAGACACCAAGAACATGGAGGCCAAGAAACTCTCAAAGGACCGGATGAAGAAGTACATGGCAAGGAGGAAATGGCAGGTAATGAGGGAGTCACTTTGGACTTGGATGTTGCCCTTTACATTTGCTTTATTCAAGCTACCCTCAATCCAACAGTGTTTACCTCTAAAAATAGTCTGGGACCAAGAGTGACATTTCATGTCTTCGTGGCTAGGGATGAGCAATGTCATCTTTAAGACTTTTTGGCAACCCTGGAGAATGTGATCTCCTTAAAGGTAGTGGGATAGGCTTATATTTCTTTATAGTGAAGGAGGAAGGCACATGATCTACAAAGAGAGATACGGTCCCCACCCTTCTCCATAGGGAGATTGTATGTTACTATGTGTCCTTGGGCGAGTGACAACCTTACTGTGCCTTCATTTTCTCACCTGTAAAGTGGGGAATAATAGTGGCACCAACGTCACACAGCATTATTTTGGGAAATATGGGAGATAATCTTCATCTGGCTTTGAGCACTTTGCATGGCACATAGTAAGTGTTCAAAAATAACACCGTAGCTAATATTATGGCTGGCTGGCCATATGTCAGGGAACATTCAAAGCACTTTCTATGCAGTGAGTCTTTTAATCCTAGGAGGCAGGTACTATTATTATCCCCACTTTTCAGACAAACTGAGGCAGAGAACAGTTGGGAATGTTACTGAAGATCATGTAGCTAGTAAATGGAAAAGGATTCAAACCCAGAGCCTGGTTCCAAAGTACAGTCTTAACAATGATGTAAAATTGCCTCTGATTTTTAACAGATGCATGAAATTGTCATCCAAAACCATAGAGAATTTGTCATCAGCTGTTTTATTTTTATTATCACTATTAGTATTACAAAATTCCTGGGCTACTGGAGGGTACATGGTTTCAGTACTCAAGGAATGTATAGTGTAGTAGGGTACTGAAGCAAATGGACATAAAAGGACACCGTGCACACCAAGAATCGTAAACGATCAGTATAGCCTACCATACCCATATATGTGAGTGTAGATGGGAGAATGGAGCCAGTCACACCAGAGGCTGGATGTGGTTGTGAGGAAATGCTGCCAGGGGCAGAACTTTGAAAGTGGTCATGGAAAATGGGCTGGAAGAAGAGAAGAGGGCATAACTGCACAGAGGAGAAAGCACAGAGGAACTCACCCTGACAGGAGCAGAGTCCTTTAGCTGGGCAGTCGGGGGAACTAGGGCATGTAAAACTTGTCTGTGTGGCAGAGAAAAAGGAGATCTCTGTTTTAGGGGCAACTGGGACGCTGGTAATTTACCATACGCGGTGACTAAATCCTCAAAAAGTACAACTTCACATGGAGGGTGAGAGGAGCAGAGGCAAAGGGGCAGCTTTTGGGCATGTGTGTTTAAGGGACCACTTCCCCTGAGTGGCTCGGCCAGGACTCCCCCAAGATGGGAGTCCGTTGTTGGTTAGTCCCCAGTGAAGGTTTAGGTGGACCTCCTGGCTCCCTCAAGTGCCAGGCGAGTTGGAACACCTGTGCCGCTTACCTTACCCTCTAGTGTCATTTGAATCCAGTGAAATCAGAGTAACTGAGTTTCTTAAAAACAAAAAGGGGTCCACAAAACCTAAGTTGGCTTTATTAATGATCCAATGGCTAACAGATCTCAAAGAAATAGTGGTACTTCTGGCATGGATAGGGTGGCTGGTGTGGGGGTGGGGCTGTCCTCAGTGCAGTGAGTCTCTTTGGGGTTTGCTTGAATGATGAACCAAAGCCAGAGGGGGGCTAAACGCAGGGGACAGGAGCAGAGAAAAGGAAATGGGAGAGGAAATAAATGAAATTTTTTAATCTAATGGGTCAGGGAACAATAAATTGTGCTGATATTTTAAATTGCTTAAATTTTTTTCTTGTTGTTAACAGTGCTGTTGGCCATAAGGTTTTCTGGAAGTGAGAAGGGAAAGAAAAGGATAGAATTCAGAGGAGAAACCTTAATTTCCTATCTTTTTGTTTTTAATGTTTATTCTTTTTTGGGAGAGACAGCACGAGTAGGGGAGGGGCAGAGAGAGAGGGGGACAGAGGATCTGAAGCAGGCTCTGCACTGACTGCAGACAGTCTTATGCAGGGCTCAAACTCACTGTGAGATCATGACCTGAGCCAAAGTCGGATGCTCAACTGACTGAGCCACCCAGGCACCCCTGATTTCATATCTTAACATAGGTAGCAGCATTTGGAAATGGTTTTTCCACAAAAATAATGGTTAGGTTTCACAAAATTACACACAAAAGT